TCGCCTTAATGACATTAATGCCATGGATCATTCCCCCAGCATGCGGGCCGTAAGGCGGGGAGGGGAGGGGAGGGGAGGGAGATTGGCCGTCGGGGAGTACTTTGCAGAGGCAGATTTGGATGGAGGAGAGAGAGGAGCGAGGGGGAAGATTTTATACGATCGGTACACGTGGAGCTCTGCATAAATACTTGGGTATCTCCGAGCCGCCCGCCTCGTCGAGATCACCGCGCTCCGGATTCCGGAGCCACTTGGGAGCCGATTCGATCGCTCCGGATTCCGGAGCCACTTGGGAGCCGATTCGATCTCCCTCCTCTCCCTGCGCGCGAGCAGGGCGCCCGCGCACGGCCCCAACCCCGACGTTGACGCACCGCCCCAGCGCCCCGCCGCGCCTCTCCCACAGGCGCGCCCCCTGGAACGGCTTGCCCGTCGCCCGCGCCGCGCACGCCCCATCTGAGACGCCCATGCTACGCGCCGCACGCTCTCGGCGCGCACGCCCCGACGAGACACCGGCCACCGTCGGACCCCGCTGCGTCCCCTGCACTCCGCGCGTGCTGTACATACTTTTTACTTTCGTACACTGCACCGTACGGTACACGTCCTACTCGTCGCTACTTGTCGCCCCTCCACGTCCCACGCACCGCGCGCAGTTCTTGGGCACCCTCCCCTCGGCCAGGTCCTTGAGGTGCAGGTACGCCGCGCGCCCGGTGCCCTTGCCGAGCGTGAACCCGGCCTCCACGGCCGGTCTGAAGTGCAGCCCCGCCCACAGCCTCGACACCCCGCAGCTGCGCGCGGCCTCGCCCAGCGAGTCGAACCGGATCCCCACCACCACGCGCGCAGGGTTGAGCGGGTTGACCCCTGGCGTCACCGTCACCTCGTACGGCACCATCGTCGTGTTGCCGCCGACCACCTCGCCCAGCACCTCCTGCAGGTGCTCGAGCACCGCCGTGCACAGCACCGCGCTGGCCGACGGGAACTCGGAGTGCGGCTGCACCGGAATCGCCGCCTGCCACTCCTCGGCGCGCACGCCGCCCTCCCCGCGCCCCGCCCCGCGCCACGCGCGCACGCGCCCGCCGCGCAGCAGCCGCCGCACCAGCGTCGCCGGCCGCACCAGGTCGTGCCGCACCTTCTCCTTCCACGCCAG